TAGGGAAATAATTTTTTCATCTTGTAATACTCCAAAAGTATGCATAAAAGCACTTTAAAAAATCCATTATTTTATTCATTTTTATACAATCCAGTAACAGAAGCTACAGTTAATGTTTCAGTTTGTTATTTGGGGGAAAATAAATACGCAGTGTAATACTATACAATAAATGGGAAACATAAGTGTAAACACTTACTTCACCACAGCAATTAATACTTCAACCAGTTACAAATACTGAAGGACTTTTATGCTTAAACAAAATGTGTATAAGTCTGTGCACTTTGAGACCCTGGAATTATTTCTTTGCTTTGCAAGTTCCAAAGTATTAAGAAAATATCACTAGTAATGGCTTCCAATACAAACACAGTGCATCCAACTTGAACAGTTAAGTTAAAAACAAAAAACACACACTGAAGTATCTTGCAAACAAAAAATCACAAGTTTTAAATATGCAACATGCAAGACTTACCTGAACACTTCCCTAACCAGCCACTGAACATTACTATCTAATGAAAAAAACTCATAAAAGCAGTACTGGTAGTCACTTAGTGAAAATTGTAAGAAGAATCTCTCAACACTCTGGATTAGAATAAAAATACACCCCCAAAAATTTATATCTGAAACACACTACAATATTGACAGTAGTAGTACTGATAACTGTCCTTAAACACAAAGTGGAAAGCAAAGAAATGATATCAACGTTTGTGCTGTATGGCATGTCCTGCAACACTCCATTCTGTTTCAGTGTAGTTCTCCTTCAAAATACCTCTGCTAAGAAATCAATATACATTTAAGTCACAACACAACCCCCCCAGGGAACAAATTTAAACAAAATTACTGAAGTAAAAAATGAAGTAAAAAAAAATGCTGTCTTAATTCTTATTACCCAAATTACTTAATGCATTCAGTAAGGTGCTCCCTCCTCCTCCCAAACAACAGCTTTTAGTATTAAATCTGTGTCCTCAAAGTCCCCATCAATGTTCAGGGTGGAGGGAAAGGGGATCAACTATCACAGATTCAACTGTATAAAGAATTTTAAAATAAAATTGCACTTACATCATAACTATAGTCTGCATCATTTGTAACTGTCAAGTCTGCAAGGTCTCCAAGGCCCAGAACACTTAACAAAACATCATCAGAACCCATAATAAATGACTTGCCTCCTCCAGACGGAAACGTTATTGGCTCAGCTACAAAGAACAAAACAGTTTCTTTAAGTCTCAATATAATAACTCAAACTTTGATGAAAAACTGCATTATTCATCACTTAAAAACAAAGCAGAATTTAAAACTTTTATGCACTTCATATTGCCTCATGTAAGGAGAGCATGACTACACGCACACATGTGCGAACACACACACATAATAAATACACAAGTCTTACACTTTGTCACTTGATTTCAACACACTTTACACAGAACCAATTTTATACATGCAAAAGAAGAATCAAGTAACTTCACTGACATCACTCCATAGTGACACAGAAAGACCAAGTTGCAGATCTCAAAGCACCTCATTCACTACACCATGCTGCTTTCTATTTGCAAATAATTCTCTGCACTTTATACTAGTCAAATATCTTTGCACGAGAAAGTATTTCTCTCTCTCAGGCTAAAGGACCATTTAAAAAAAAAATCTCTATTACAGTTTTTGAGATCAAAAATACAAACAACAACAACAAAAACCCCCGCACTTTGTGAAACCTTTTTCTGTTTTTTTTTTTTTTTTTTGATAATTTTGGATTCTAAATATTTAAAATACACTCAGTTGAAATTTTTCTTAGATAGCTGTATCTTCATAAAATTGAACGGTAACATTTTAATTAACTCTCATTTAGTGTGTAATGAAAAAAAATGCCATGTAAGCATTCCTTCTAAATTCATACCTGAATAATGAAGTTTCAAGCATTCACCCAAAGTCTTTATACGCTTCAATAATCCTGTATACCTCTCCCTTCTATATCTACAAATAATAACAATTTAGCAGTGAAGTACCAGAATAAATGCTCAAGTATTTTAATGCTTTGGTGTATTGCTGAAGTCTCCTATTTATAAATATACTTTTTTATTCAGAAATTAGGACACTTGACAGCTGGAGTTAAATACTTTGCCTAAGCATTAACTTTGACTAGGCAGGAACATCTTAGAAATACTTAGAGAGACTTTATTAAGTCGTTTGACATTTTTTAATATTAAACTTGTTTTTCATTTAGATTTCACTGATTCAGAATACAGAGTATTTTAATGCCTTCTCCTGATTCTAATTCCCTTGGAGAAAACAAAAAATATGGAAAATAAAGCTTCCAGTTCCAAAAAAATATCTCTATCCTGTTTAGAAATGTTACATAAGGGTGGGGAAGAGAAGAAAAAAAAAAAAAAAAAGGAGGACTAAGAATTAACACATTCCTTTTTCAAAGGAGCATCTGAATCACACTATGCTTTATGCTACCTGAATGGTAACTTAATCGTGTTTGACAACAGCTGAAGGAAAAGCGACAAAGAACAAGTGTCAAATAGAGGTGTCTGATCTTGTTGCTATGGCAGAGTTGTGCAGAGAACAACCAGTGGAGCTAGATCTACAGAAAAACTTCAACGCAGACAAAAGTGCATTTCTCAAGAATAAAATAAGCCCTAATGGTTGAAAATTACTGCACTACTGAAAACACAAACTTATTAGTACAGACAGCATTCCCAGGAAGAATAAAGAATACTCCTCCTGTAAGTCCCCCAAAAGGACACATAATCCTCTAACTTGTCACAATTACCTCTTTTTAAGTAAGTCATAGCCCACACAAAGGCCTAGAAACATCTGAATACCACATTACGTTCACAGCCCAAAGTAAGTTTATGATGCTCTTGTACAAATAAGCTTTTCATTTCTGTAAATATTTCACAAAGCCATTCATCATTATTTCAGAAATTTGCCATATTCATGGAAAACTCTTATTTTCCATATATTTTCCTCTTTTTTTCTTCTTCTTTTTTTTATTGAGGTTTCTGTCTTTACTAGATGACAGCTGAAATTCTAAGTATTGTTATTTCTAATAAAATTGTCTGAATTGAACATAAAGAGGGAGATATACATGTTTTAAGTAAAAGCAAAAGTTAAAATAACATCACAAACATTCTTTTGAAGAACCTAAATTGTGAAATACTCAAATAAGTAATAATTGGCCCCTTTTTTTTTTTTTTTTAAATCCCCCCCCCTTTTTTTTTCTAGCAGATACTTTCCCCCCTCTCTCTCCCCAATCCTTAGAAGAGCTCTAAATCTTTTATTTGGACTTTCCAAAAATGGCTCACTTCTAGTGTCTGGAGCAGGTCCCAGCATCACAGACACAACAAACCAACTACAAGCCAAGACTTCTCAAATACAGCAACAGAAATAAAGCTTCTGACCACTGAGAAAAAGGCAAAAAGCTGATTCTAAATTTGACGACATTTTCCATCCCATTTTTGATGTTGTCACTCCTATTTGATTTTTAAGATAGGCCCTCATGATTTGAATGAGCTCCTTAATCTGTCAGGCTAATACTTTTTGAGAGCAATGTGGTCAGTTTTTATCAAATACTAGATAAACTCTTCCGAAAATGTACTCCGTGCTAAAACTGCAGGATGCTTTATGCATGGTACTTTATGGTACCACATTAACGGATAGCTCAAACTTATCAAATTTTATTTGCTTAAGAGTTGAAAATTCCATTATCTACAAATTCAAAATTAACATTATCTGAAATTTAGAAAAGTGTTTCTCAACATTAAAAACAATGCCAATAGCACAGTTAAAATTAATTTGCAAGTATATTGAAATGTAATTTACAGATTTTTGTTTCAGACACATGCCATATTCAATTAAACAAAAAAATAGTTTCAAGTTTTCAGAAATACTGATTGTAGAAAAGTAATGCAGTGAAAGATAGACAGAGTTGTACCTACTAAAAATACAGGCTCATAGCCTGGCACACTGCAAACCTTTATAAGAAAGCCAATTTACTTAGTGAATGCTCTTTTATCTTTAAAGAGAGTATCCAAGCATGTTTCTAACATAGTATACGCTATTATCCTCACAGCGTAACAGTTTTAAGTTTGCAACACGTAAAGAGACAAGTGATAGTATAAGTTAGCTTCTAGGTAAAACTAACTAAAAAGATATAGCAATTAAGTATCTGCTTGGCCAATCCTAACCAGCCTCTTCTACCCTGAAATTCTTGATGCTACGGATAATCAAGTTAAGGCAGTAGGATTAGCACAGACTGAAACAACTTTAATATCCAGTCAAATATCTACATCCACATTTGCCTCCACTGCTTATTAAGAGGAGACACTTTGTTCTTTTTCTCTAGAAAGGCAATTTACAGTATGACTGCATGTAGCAGTCAATATTGTATCATACATGGCTGAGCAATTCGCTACCACTGCTATTACCTGTCAAAAGGACATTGCCCAATACTCCATGGATCTTCAAGAAGAAAAAAGTAACAATAATAATTCCCTATGGCACATAGGTTGGAAGATCTTGTTGAAGGACTCTTCCCAAGGCAGCATGCAATACGGTGAAATGGAAACTCAAATTTCTTATTGCTTGAACTATAAAGTGGAATTATGGCATAGCAAGTTTCTCATCATATTTAATTAGGCATCTGAGTTCTTAAAGAATAAATAATAAGAAAATGAGAGATTATATTCCCAGCCAAGCAGGATGATAGCTTAATTCCCCATGAATCCCTCTGCGAAGGAAAGAAAAAAATAAGAGAGGGAGAGAAAAAAATGGAGTATAATAATACACCGTTTGCTATGGATAAAATGAACAGTCGTTCCTTTTATCACATAATTACAACCCTGAGAAGCAGAAGAAATGCTTAAGAGCTGAGTATAAGCATAAGATATATGCAGAGCCATGAGAAAATTACAGCTTATGAACATCCTTGAGTATAGGTTACTGTGTCTTAGTAAGGAAGTTAGTTGCCCAAAATTATTTGCAGGAGAATTCAGCTTTTAAAACAACTAGATAAACAACTGAGCAAATCAGCATCTTCTATCATGAAGTATTTTGCTCTTATTTTATTACTACTACTACCAGAGCATGGACATAGAAGGAATTGAAAGACTGTTGTCTTTAAGCTTTACTTGCAGCTTTGCACCATATAGTATAGACAGACTTAAAAAAAAATATTAAAATATTTAGGACAGATTTCTGACTAGGCAGGAAGATATATTCTAATATTTGAATTTTAAAAGTTATAAAGCAACAATAATTTTTATAGTGACACAGATATTCACATTTGCTTAATGAATAAAGCATAACAGACTAAACAGATAAGATGAAAACATATGAACACATTACATTGAGTGAAAATATAATCCAGAAAGTATAGCTTATTCGAGAATGGTACATATAGTTTGTTGAATTTGCATACAATATACTGCATTACATGAACAGACAATAAAAGCCATCTTCAAATTTGTCATGTCTCTTCATTATGTTTGTTTTGCAAGATATTTTTAATAAAATACATGACACTTGAATGGCCTGTTCTGTTAAGTCTCCAAGTGTCTGTGTTCCTCTGCAAACCATATGTTGTATTTGCCCTTGTAGCTTGCAAAAAGTTTAAGTCAGATGGAGGAGCTGTAGGGACAAGTGCTCTTAGCACTTTAACAAGGCTAAAAGGCATCCCAAAAACCCAGCACAAAGTTGCTATAAAGGTGGCTTATATTTTTACCAGAGTACATCACATCCATTGCAATAGTGGAACATACAAGTAGGTCAGTTTCAGCGTGTGAAAATTCACCAGTAGGTTCTCAACTGAACATTTGCGCTTTTATATTGATTAAGTTTTATACTGATACGTATTATATATTCTATATATCTACGTATTTATATTGATATGAATAATTTTTAATTGAATAAGGAAATAAAAACATACATGAAAAGAAAGGGCACAAAAGAGAAGGTGGGAAGACAATACATAAGATAAGAGTTTGGGAGCAGCAGACTAGGAAATTGCTTGGTTGGGGACAGGGGTGATTGCCAGCAGTCATGACTGTCAGTTGCTTCTTCCCCAGTCTTATTAGCATCTGTAACAGCAGAAATTCTTTCAACATCTGGGAGAGCCGATAGCATGCCAGGGCTTACAGCCCAAAGATCATCCTAAAATAGCTGAATATAAAATCAGCTAAACATTTCCAGTACACTTAAGCTAGAGAGTGGATAATTTCTATCACAGTATGTTAATCTCAGAGTTACTATAATTCCTTTAAAACAGAAAACTTCAATAAATCCTAGGAGACAAAAAGATGAGTAGAAGATTTGCAGTTACTAAGATAACCTTTTGCCAATAACTTACATGGCTTAGGATGCACCTGAAATGGGAACTAATACTTTGTAAAGAAACACATTAAAAGCATAAAAACACGATGCAAAATAGAATAAGCGAATTTTTTTAAAAAATTATATACATATATATGTATATGAGGCAGCAGAGACACATTGTTCTCAAATTAAAAGCTAATTTAAAACTGCTTGTTTAATGCAATCTGTGTATCAAATGTTAGGACTCACCTTTTATCCCCCCCTCCCATCAAGTATTATCACACCCTATTAGTACAAAGTTATCCTAACACGGGGTTTGCAAACAGGGATTTAACCATCAATAATGTAAAAACACACAGCTGTTTAAAAATAATCGTGAGATTAAGGTCAGCAGGGGCAAGCCACAAGAACTCAGCCTATATTCTCACAAAACCATTTGGAAAAAAATGTAAATAATGAGGTGTCTTTTTGTAAACTGCATCTGCATGAAGCTTAAAAGGGGACAGTAAGTTACAATGGGTGCTTTCTCAAAGAAACCTCCTGAAATATAATAAGTAGCTGAATATTTTGTACCTTCCTCTGCTCTTGCACCTTCATGATCAGTCATTCTAGAAGAGGGTGACCTAGATTGATTAATGATTCCTGAAGGGATGTGGGGTAGCTCATCATCGCCCAGATCAGCTATCATGTCGTGAAGTTTTGTCCTGTTGACTCCTGTAAATTAATGTCAGCAGCAAAAATTCATTTGATTGCTACCGCTTGAGTTGGCAGAAGTCTAAAAATCCAGTTAACTAATTAAACAAGAATAATTACTGCTGGGACCTCGATAAACAAACAAATTTGCTTTTCTTTTTCTTTGTATATTAGTATAATATACAAAGAAATCAAAAAGAAATTAATTCATAAATTTGGAAATCAAAAGAAAATTAACTCATAAATCTGTAGACTACATGCAAACCATTTTAATTCAGCAAATCAAAGAAAAAATGCTTTGTGTTCTGTAGATCTATTTTATAATTTCCTGGAGGAGAAAAAAAACTCAGCATCTTACAGCCCTAGCTAGAAGTCAAGCCGAGCATTAATTATGTAACAAAACACACGGGTTAAACATTCGCAATATTAGACAGTCTTAACTATGCTAAACAGTTTTTAACACTGAAAAACAGAGTGCAAATAAAAAGCTTATAAATGAGGGGAATGTACAAATAATTCATAACAGGGGTGGAGGGGACAGAGGGTGCAACAAACAGTTAACTTTCCCTGGTTTTGAATGGTATTTAAATGGTATAAAATGTTTATTAAACCCAAGAGAAAGCATGTTTCCAGCACTGTATAAAAGTGCATACGCATGTTACACGTAAAATACAAGTATGCTGCTAGAAACAAGACATACTACATTATACATGCATTAAATTCATGATGCAGACATTAGAAATCACAAATAAGAATGGTCTATTTAAATTTTAATATATCTAACTTTACTAAATCGATTCTTCTCTCCAAAGAATGTCAAAAGTCAGGCTTCAACCAAGAAATGAAATTTCACTCATAATGATGGAATCTAGTTAAAGAAAATGATCTATAATGGTACATGACAATCAGATTTTAATCAATCTGTTGGTGTTTATATTGCAAAATACTTAAAAAGCACATATACAAAAAACAGTGTGCTTTTTTCATTTAAGACTTACTGTTATAAGGCCTATTGAAACATGTCTAATTTTAAAATATAGCTATTTGTACATATGATAGAATTTTTTAAAGATGTGATATGTGCCACTATTATTAAAAAGAAAATGCAAACTCAAAGCAGCGCCTTTATTCTATAAAAGAGTAATAATTATAACAACAGAATTAAAACCAATTTATTATCCAAAGTAGAAATGTTCATTTATGCTGTTAAAAGGCAGCTATAAATTACATGATCAAAACAAGTATCTAGCAAGACAGCAAATTCTCTGGAGATAACAAAGAAACACCAAAACAAAAAGTACTTCTGAAAATAGAATCATAGCAAAAGCATACAGTGCCCACCCCATGAGGCATGATACATACCTCACTACTACTTGCGAAAAATTATCTTTTTGCCAAACTAAAACTCCCTTTTACATTTTTTTTTTGGTGTGTGTTTCTGGCATTACTTTTTTTTCCCTCTCCTTTCTTCCTATGAAACATTCAATATTTCCATTAAGCCTAAGAGAACTGCTACCTTGAAGTGGTCTGAGAACAAAAAATGGCTAAGTATTTCTCTTATGGAAGAGGAGAAATCTGCATGGTGAAATTTCATCTCACTCACGAATAAATGAGTCTAGAAATAAATGTTTTCGTACAGAAGCTTCAATGGAGTGAATGTAAACCTATTAAAATGGTTAAAATTTTTACTCTTCAAGGCAGAATATGCCCGGAAGTAACATTATTTTCCTCAAGAAAGTTATAGATGGACAAGGCAAGGATTAACAGAAAGAGACCTACTTGCGTGTTAGAGGAGGCTATGGAAGCTTGTACTTTCCTGCAACACACAGCATCTCCTTTAAATGCATAAAAATTATTTCCTTCTGGTTGGATTTAACATGGAAGCAGCCATGTGGGTGGATACAGAATCCCCATTTACACATGCTGCAATGCTCTGACAAGTGCTAAAGGAGAGAAACTGAGGACAACGTTCTTTCTCATAGAACTGAAATAACAGAAAGTCCTTTTATTTTTGAGGGCCCACAGTTACATTATATCTTACCTGTGCTGTTACACACTCACTCTGGCTTGCAGTATTTTCATACCCAAGAATCACAGAGGTAGTATTAGAGATCGAATTTTCAGAAACTGCCTACTGTGTGATGCTCTTCTGATCTTAACTTTGAGAAACAAAAGAAAAGCAAGAGGAGACTGGGCTGCTGCTCTGCACAAGGCAGAGAGCCAGGAGAACGGGATGGAGGCAGTCAGATGGATGACCTCCCCTTCCTTCCCAATTCAGGGCTGAGGTGCTAGGGTGTTACTGTGAGGAAGGATCCAGGATCCTGAAGTGACAGACCAAAACCTGAGAAGAGCCAGTTCTATTACATCACGTAATCAGTTTTCTCTACATCAGCAGATAGAAATAAAGTCGATCTAGTCTGAAGAGCACAATACTGGAAAGATGCCTCTACCCAAACAAGGGTTTTAAAATAGAGAAAGTTCCTTCTTTATTTTAAAGATATAACAGTTGGGGTTTGCAAGTGATATCTCATTTTAAAGGAGACATTATTAAAATAGCCCAGATCTCAACCGCACAGATCACAAAGCCTTTTTTTGTATCTTTTCTATTTGAGTTGACTTCCAGCCACTTAACGTGACTGCCAGCAGATGCACTCTTGAAGATTTTATAAAGCAATCAGTGTATGACAAGATAGACGTTACCAGGGTACCCGCAGCTGTCTACCTCCATATACAGAGTTCTCTGTTCTCCGGCAGAGCACAAACTTGTCTTCTCTATGCCGATATAGCTTGAGCTATTCAGCACATCCATGGAAAACGCCAAAATAACCCCATGAGCTCTAATCTGCATCCAAACTGGACACCTCCTTCAAATACACTCACCCTAAAAATATATGAGCAAAGATCAGTCTCTGAGCAGAATGAGAAGGAACTGTAAGTTTCCACACTCTGCTATCCACTATTACTTTGAACCACCATTCACTTAGAATGTCCCCAATCAGGGAGTCGTCAGTCTTGCCTTTCCATGTTTTGACAAATTTCATCAATTCTTATCCTTGAGGTATGATCTGGAAACAGCCCTCAATCCCTCATATAATACAGACATAAATGTCTTTTTAGCTCCTAAGAGAACTTCTGCTGTTCCCAGCATCTCTTCTGTAACTCCAATGTCAATACTCAGGATATGATCACCACAGAAACTCTTACTGATTTCTCCTTTTGAATAAATAGCAATTGCGATTTCACAACATCCTTTAAGTACTTTAAATGTTACAAAGGGATTTTAAGGGTAAGAACATGCTGTCTCTGCATAAGAAACTATGTCCAAGGTACAAACCAGCCAACTGTTTTCTAGGTTCTCCCTTGATTCTAAAGAATAAAACAAGGCAATGGGTTAACTTGAAACCATTATGAACAAAATGGAGACACCTACTATCCCATCTCCCTGTACCTTCCTCCCGAGATCAAAAGGGTGAAAGGTATTTACATGTTCAACACCAAGAGGCTGTTGTTTGAAAAGCCATAAACACATTAGCTGCAAAATAGAATATTCATGTCTGGATCTAACACTAGAGTGCCTCACATCAAGAGGAGATAATAACGAAGATTGTTATATTTCTACATTTGCTTTCATGCTTTCAGCTACTATATCATTTCTCCAGAAATCAAGGATAGAACAGAGACTGGGAAAGATACACACATATGGTGGACTAGACTGAGTAAGAACAAAAGAACCAAGAGATAAAAGAAAAACTACAAGGACCAGGAAAATTAGTAAGAGGATCTTCATTTTAATAGTGATCCAAATAGACAATTTAAAGTCTGACAAATACTTTTCTAGTTGCTGAAGAACACATTATTCTGACCTAATGCTGTCAAATGTGGTAGGTATCATCTTCAGTATCATGGTTCTGAAAATTTAGCAGATGGTATCTGGAGAGGAAAAAAAAAAAAAAATCTACACTGATTTGCCTGCCCAAAAGGATTCAAACCTGGGAAAGAAGAAGATGTTTTACTCTAGCATGTATCTAGCATATTACTACAAAAGTGTTCTTAGCAAAGAAGAGGGCTGGGTGAAAACCAAACCTTCACTCCTTAGCTGTTTATCACAACGAAGTCCAGAATAAGTCTTTTTGTTGTGAATATAAAACAGACTCTCAATAAACAGAGGTTGAATTATTTTGCTGCTAACTCTCTAAAGAGAATTCAAGTGTAATTAAATTCTGTAATTAAAATCCTAAAGATTTTAAAATCCTAAAGAATTTTGCATCCTAAAGATGAAATATGTCCCAAAAGGAAGTGACCTGAATTCAGGTGTTTCTCACAAAAGGAAACACATGAACGCACATGACAGAAATTTGAAACTAGAATGTAATCACCTTCAAACATAAAGATGAGTAACTGAGAAGTGAAAAGTTATCACACCTGAACCTTGGCTATGAATTCTGTCATCAAGAAAACTTTAAATTCAGACATATTAGTTACCACTGGGATAGCCAACAAAAAAATCCATTAGAATATTTGCCCTATTATGCTATCCTCTAAATAAGTGATAGCCAAAACACATTTACACTAAGATGTCACACAGACCTCAGAAAAATATATTTTGCTAGAATGTCTGACAATTCCCTTGAAATTTTGAAGAGCAAAATAAGAGATGACTGTTCAGGATGAACTGCAGTGAGTTATCAGACTTTAAGAGCCAAAGAAGCTCCTATGCTATTCTATTTTCAGTCCAACAATATTTTTAAAAAGCTGAAAGAAATCTACAAGTCAAAGTTTGCAAATAAACCTGCCCAAGCTTAAATGCATGCTTCTCTGTGTTTTAAGTTACATTGCTCTATTTACTCAGTTATTTAGAGGCCAATTCTAAACCAGGAACTGCTGCTGCACCCATGCAGAACCCACCCACAACCTACCCTGTAAGACTACCCGTACAACTCAGGTATTCTCAATAGAAAGCAGCTTAAACTTTATAAAAATAAGCAATGACTTATGTCACTCTATAGCAGTGTGACACAATGTATCCCAATTAGGTTTTTTTACTGTGAACATAAGCAGGTTTCAACATTCACATCAAGAAAGTAGCCCTGTAAGTTCTGACAGTGGAACACACTGTCCAAAGCCATCTGATACAGAGCAAGATGCTAATCAATAGCCAACATAGGCCATCTTCCAGGGTGCAAGCTTAATGTTAGGGTGCTGGAAAGCACTGGAGGAAAGCACAGATAAAGGGTAGTGTTTTGATGATGCACTGTTAATTTTTTCATGCTTACAATGAGGCATTTCAGATAGAATTATCACTGTTTAAACAGTTGTTCCAAATTTAATCAACGCTATAGACCATTAAAACTCCAGTTTTTGATAAAGTAGTATTGTTTTGATCAGAGAAGATTTTGCACTTTTAAAAACAGTAAGACTGTTGCAGATAGAAAAATAAAATTATGAAAATCCTTAACTGCACAGGACCCAAGAAAGTAATAACTGCAGGAATGAGAAACCCTTTCTAGCCAAATAAAAAGAAGATGCCAGAAAGTGCCAAGAAAAATACGGAGCCCTGGGAAGAGCTTTTGGTATAGTTTTATTCCTGTAATAACACTTAATGCTGTTTTAATGCTGCTCACCTTGTAAAAGCCAGAAGCAGAAACTAACTGGCACGGTGGTGGGTGAAACAACAGAAATAAACCTTCTAACAGAGCTACAGTTTCAAGAGCTTTTGAAATTGCATCTTTGTATTTTTTCCCCACACAAAACGAAATATAACTCTCCTAAATCCTTTCATTTGTTTTTTTTTTCTACAAATAAAAACATTTGTTGCTAATTTGCTTCCAAAACTGTCTTAAAAAATGGAAAATTCAACAAAAATTTTCCAAATAAAAAAAACGTTTTGATAGTAAAAGAAGTTCCTATCCCTACAAAATAGTTTGTGCCACTTTGATAAATATTAACTGCTTATCTACATATTAAAACACTTCATTATGATCCAGACTACTTCTATAAATTCTAATGATCGAAGGTTGTACAAAAGCAATGCTTTACTTTGACAAAAATTGTATATTTATATGTGTATGTGCGAGCCATGCAAAACTGCTCAAAACAATCAACATGCACAAACTGATCTATAATTTGTTAGGACTTACTCAGAGTGATTTCACATTTTAAATCAACAGTTGTAAAACTGTTTATGAAAAGTGTTACATTTTAACTCATTACCACCTGATTTAGTTAGTGTGCACTCATGCAATTTTTCATGTTCCAATTATTTTTATTGAATATAGCTAGAAATAGTACTAATTAATACACTTTAAAAAATAAAAAACTGCAATCAAGGTAGTTTCTACAAACTGACTCTCAATTAATACCATTTTATCCACCAAGAGGTTTGTGTAGGCAATATAATTTAGTAATACATTTTTAAGCAACTTAAAGCTTAAGCTTGGTTCAATTTATGCCATTTCAAAAGGTCAGCTGGCTTGAAAACTCTTCCTCTCAAGAGTAAAGAGATCTCAACACAGAAAGGCAGCATAAAAAAAAATCAAATCCACGAAAAAGTTTGTATTCACACTGCATATATTTTGAAGTTCTCATTCTTGGGTTTTAAAAACACACACATGCCCATATGCAGTAATAAAACAAGCTTTAATTAAATTCAAGCTGATTAAAAAAAAAAAAAAAAACAGTACATGAGTATTTTCCTTTGAAAAGTAGCGAAAGACTTTAATTTTTTTCTTAAAATTTCTGAAGTAGAAATATCCCCAAAATGCAGTGTTGGGCACTCATATTTAAACTTGCATTTCAAAGCTGTTAATTTTCTTTACTTAATTTTGCCTTAAATATTTAAATGCTTTAATTATTTTTCATCTAGGAAATGGCTGACAATAAAGGTTTTAACATAGTCACATTCAGTGTGGAGAAAGTTAAAGTTGGTTGCCCCCTTAACAACAACAAAAAAAAAGTTTAATGAAAAAAGAAAAACAGAATTTGTGAGAAAAAAAAAATCTTTGATATAGATAAGCAAAAAAGTGTTGCAAGACAATATTCAGAATCTGCACTTACTCTTCACCCCTTTCTTCCCCTTTCGTTCCTTCTTGTACTGTTCCTTCAGTTTACTTATTAGCCCCTGGTCTACATCCCAAACCTCAGTAGCTGGGGACAGGTCATCTTTGTCTACATGCAGCATATTATTAAAAGGAAAAAAAAAACAGCAATTGGCAATGCAAGCTCTTGGCAATTTATTTTCACAGCTGTATATGACCATCAATAAAAAGTTCTTCATTATTCTTTATATTAAAGGTGCAGTCTCAGTTTTTAAGTTTATAAAACAATAACTCTCATTTCATAGAATTTTCCAAGGCACTGTTTAAAAACAGCTATACATTTGAACAATGTGTTAATTTGTTACTAATGAACAAATAAATCATGCTTTTTAAGTAATTGCTTGTTAGATGCTTCAAAACACATAAAATTGTGTTCACAAATAATTACTGCATCTTTAGAAAGGTAGCGTTAAGAAAACTTTCAGCCAGTGTTGAACAAGCAAAAAAGAAAGTGTTCATGCTGTATCATTTATGAAAACGCAAGCCAGGGCAGTCAGCGGCAGTTTGCTCATGAAGACCCCCCATGCATTCTTTCCCACTCATCCCACATGCACAAGAACAACTTTGGTCCTACAGGCAACCACAGAAAGAGTAATGACATCCTACTGTCTTCCAGCAATTCCATTATAATTAGCAGAAACACAATTCCAGAGCAGTTTTCAATGACATGTCTTTTCTGTGTGACATACCCTACTGAACTTGTTATTATCCAAGAAAAGTCATGTTCCAACTTTTCCATCACTATCACTAGTAGCACTAGGATCACTAACTTTTCTGGAAATGTGGGATTAGTAAAAGGATAAATTTACATTCATCTTGTCTTAGAAGTGTATTTAGAACTTTTGATTGAAGACAAACAGACAAAAAATAACGCACTCTTGGCTTCTGCATTAGTTAAACCTATGCTCACAAACTACTGAGACATAATTGATAAAAATTAGGTCCCCCAAATACCCAGTTTGCAGAATCACATTTACAACTATATTTCTGTTTCAAAAAAAAAAAAAAAGCTATTTTTAAATGTCAGTTGTTCAGGTGACAAAAGTGTGCAAGAGGAGCCACAGACAACGGAAAGCAAACTGCCAATTGGTTTATTAAAATAACTTAGAATGTGCTGTTTTATGTTAGGGCCCTCACAAAACCTATGCATTTAGGATGCAAGGTATATAAAACAGAAAGCTGATAACTATTGTTTTAAATACAAATGTTCCATGTTAAAAAACATCAAAGAAGGGAAGGACACCCTAGGGCACTGAGGCATCCCCACAAAACCACCACTAAAACAGCAGGTATTAATGGCAGAAGTCAGCAACTGAGAAGAAGAAATAGCAAAGGCGGGGAAAGCAAAGAATGAGAAAAATCTCATGGATACCTGGACTTTCCACAAATATTTTGCAGAGCAGGACAGAGCAATTAGGTCTTACACTAAACTAAAGCTACCACTGACAAACTGCAGCCACAAACACCTCATCCTTTAGGATCGCAGGGCCAAAACACTGATACAGAAGAGCAGCAAATACAAGAGACCCTACTTAAGTCAGAGGACATTTCCAAACCAAAGGGGAAGGAGTTAAAAACAATATATATCTTTTTAAGTGTCTTTAAAATATATTTATATATTTTTACCCACCTATCACCAAGGCAATTAACCTAAGGACAAGTTAAAAAAGGGGAGGAAGAGGGACGAGAGGAATAATCCAATGCAACAATAGTAAAAGAATCAGCTGGGTACTTGCACTGTTGAGGAAAGAAAGTGGCAGTTAAACTGAACCAGAAGTTGAATATGTAAGATCAATATAATGTTTTTGGGAAGGAGCAAGGAAGAGAGCACAGAAGCCAAGTGCCACTCTGGTGTGTGTGAGAAGATGTAGTTTAAATTACGAGCATCAAACTCCTCAGTAATCGTGATGACGAAATTGAAATAGTAGGTCCAATCTGTGTGTTACAGTACAACTTTTAGAAATGATGAAAGAACAAGATACCATGACATAATGAACCTTTAAATATTTCAAATACACACCAACTTAAAAGAAAAAAAGAGAAAAAAAATCCCCACACAAAACACATACAATCTCATTCTTAAGCATGCATTTAAGAAAAGAACAGCTACATCAAAGTCAGTGACATACTGAGGAGAAGAGTGCTACAAGAGTTAGAAGTCTGTCTTCTGGCTTAAGGTGGTAAATTGGTATAAAGTGTTTGAAAAAAAACTTACAGATATCACGTTCATCTGTCAAAACTTGGAAAACATCCTTTTGAGACGGTTTGTTCCTCCTCCCCATTTCCTTGCCTCAGGTGTGAGCACTTTGATAACAACCAAGTGGCTGAGGTTGGACCAGTTACCAAAAATCTTAAAATGCTCTGCCTCACTTTTGCCATGGGTTAACATGAATTCTAATATAAGAACTTCTAGACTGTTCTCTGAGAAGTGTGGTGGGTCAATATCATTTGACAAATTTGACAAAAATTACATTTTTTATATCAGTATTTCACATCGGAAACCACAGATTTTGGTTAATTAGCTGAAAAGATGGCAACACATAACAGGCTGGAAAGAAATCTCAGATAGTAACGACTTGGGATTGCTATAGACGAGCCAGTTTGGTAAGTTTCAGCACCACAGGACAAGTGAGTTCTTTGACTGCATGAATTAGAGCATCAAGATGTCTTTATCTCTCTGGTAAAACTAAAGCTATGACCGGAACTTTCTGCATTTCTCTACATTTTAAGTGATGCTGAAAAGTGAAAGCCACAAATTTGGTTCTCAAGGTTGAGAAATATTTTATGCTAAGTGATTTGTCTCTTTTACTAAATAAAAAGATGATTGTCAAAGAGGGACAACATTAATGAACACTAAAATGCTTCTAAAAATAGATGAGCACTATCAGAACTGAATGCTACGGTATGTCTGGCTTTCAACTAGAAATAAGACTGAGCTTTAAAAATTCAAGTAACTAATCCTTTGATATTAATTTCCAAAAGAAAATTCATTCTAATCCTTGATACCTTCAAATCAAAGCTGGATGATTTTCCTGCAAGATATACCAGTATTACAATTTCTGTAGGTCTTTTTATTGTGTTTGCTCAATGATGTGCTTATCTGGGTGCAACAAATTCACTGTCTCAATAAAGCAATCCAACAGCACGGTCTAATGGCACTTTTTGGTCTTACAGTCAAAGACTTAGCGCAACTGCAGAACTGCTTTTCTTCAGAAATGAAGATTGTCAACGTTCATATCAAGGCAGATGTGAATGTCTTGGATAGCTATTAATTATTTTTCCTACCCAGATTCCCTCCCTCTTTGAATTTTGTCGTTTGAAGGATCTCCAGTTCCATGAATTTCTGAAATGTACTTAGCTCACTGTGTTTCATACTGAAACAGTAACTTGTTTAATTTTAATATTGACTCTCAAAAAAAGTTGAAACAGTCCAGAAGAGTGCTGATTCTCTTAAGGCAACCTATATTAGCAACAGCATCTAAAAAATCTTAGCATGTAAAACTAATTATACTAATATTTCCCTTCCTCCCCCCACCAAGAACATTAAAGATAAGCTTAATTTGAGCACAGAAAGAATTTAAGGCTCCTGATCAAAAAGGAAACAGGAAAAACAAAAAACAAACAAATAGATTTGAAGGATGATTTAATTGAAGCATAAAAATATAGAGAATTCTGGTCTTTCTTGCATAATAAGGAAGAGTTTTCTTCTTTTAGAATTTAGAATGAAAAGCAAAACATAAAACAACCCTATCTGCTGCAATGACAATAGTTTAAACAGTTTCAATATACAGTATTCTACTATTTAGTCACCAGCATTTGATTTTCAGTCATCCACACATACACTCCATTTTAGTAGGTGCTGCAACTCACATGAACACATATCTTCCTATATTTATATTCTTAAACTTTTTTGTTAATATCTTACCCCACTCTGTTCCATCTCCTGAACTTCGGGCTTCTCCAGCTCCCTCACCATCTTCAGCTGTCACTAAAAAGTCAAATTCTTTCAAAGCTTCTTCAGTATCAGGGTCATCTGTAAGGTCAGCAGCTAAACCTTCATTACCGATCTGCAAAAACATAACATTTTTTCTGCAATTGAACCATGAAAACTTATCTATCAATACACACCTAGGTTAGAAATGACACAGATTACATTCAGAGAGGGTTTAGTTTCACAGGAAAGCATTTTTCAACTTGAAGTAGAAAGTGTCCTCATGATATTTTTTCACCACCAGAACATACTGTATTTAAACAGTCTGTATCATAGTCAAATTAATGTTGCTGCATGTAAAAAGCCCAATGACAAGAAGAATATTCCATAACAATGAAAAAAGACCTAAAAGAGGACGGATTATCCTACCTAGAGAGTTGCAACAGAAATGAAAACAAAAGAAAAAAAGAAAACAGCACAAAATTTAATTGAGCCTTATGAAAGAAGCCACTGGAGACAAGTTTCTACTAGGGTCTACTAGGGTACACTTCCAATTAAGAAGCTGCATAAAGGAATTAAATAGTTATTTGGCATGGAATCTACTTTTTCACTACATCATTTAGCTGCCTCTCCACATAGGATTGACTCTACCTCCTCAAAAACTCAAAAAGGATGCACTTTTGTCTGGCTTAAGATTTGCCATGTAGGAAGGCTCAGATTATTCAGAGATGCAGAAATAAAATCAGATATGCCTTTCAGCAGGTAGCTAGTTGGAAAAGTGTTTTTAAGGGAATTTCAGATTTATACCCTACACAATATTAAAAGAAATCCTTACTTTGTGTTTTTTATTTATCCGATGCTTTTCTTTTCCTTCTGCAATATCTTCTATCATGTCACTCTCGTCTTCCTCATCACTATCATCGGCATTCTCTAGGAAGTTAAATGTTTCAAGAACATCGCCAGAATTCCTATATAAAAGAAACATTAACTGTGAGTCAGTGTTAATTGCTGTTGAGATTTTCAAAGATTAATTAGATCAAATGCAACTGCTACCTGACGTAAAAGCTTAAGATTTTTAAAACATACAAAACAACAAGAAATAGTTGCACAAAGAAGAGTTTCTACAGTTGTCTAATTCCTTATGGTGAAAAGCACCCCTCAATAATATCTTGCCACAGAATAGTATTAAATATTTCAAGAGTTTTGACACTGAACTCTTACAGTCCTGCCTACTTTCCTACCTAAGGCTTGTAGTTAATTGCATTTAATTTCACAATCAGTCAGCCACACTGCAGGTTTTCAGAGACTCCAGAGTTAAAACTGAATGTGAAATAAGTAGTACTTATCAATGACCAAGGAAAGCATACATTTTACTGTATGTAAAAGTAAAGCACAACCTTACACATTTCCTATTTCTTCACTTACCTTTTGATTTCCTGTCCCTTTTGTTTTGATGAAGGAGATTCACCTCCATTGAGGATCTGCTCCAAGTTCTTTGTTTCTACTGAACCATTTGGTTCTGAATTGGAGAGCCCAAGCAAAGACCTTACCCGCTGGGAGCGTACATCCAATATTGTATCTGTATAACCTACTTCCTGAAGATACCTACACACATTACGAGGAGAAAGAAAAAATACATTTTAGAGAAGAGAAAATAAATCTTTATTGTTAAATGAATGCCATTATTACACTATTTAAGGAAAAGACAACTCCTCACAAAACATTTAGGCATTTCACCTGTGGCTTGCTCTGGCAATATTCAACCAAAAGCTTAAGCCATGAGGTATCCAAAAGTTTAATCTCTGTTATTTAAAGTAAAGCTGAAGATCCCAGAGACCTGAATAATGAACAAGTATTTGCCTCAGTTACACAGTTTCACAGAGTAAACACAGCTGCTGCTAATCCAGGAAAAGATCTGAAAACACCAGCACTCAGTAACATTACTTACTGTCTTAGTAACTGTCTGCCTTGCTTCCAGGTCAGTTGGCTATTTTGAGGTACTGTGGGAACCTCTGTGTCTTTGGTTTCTTCTGAAAGATATAGAGATATGTATGCATTTATTTATTATTTACACACACACACACACACACGAGTATTTTTAAATGAGACAACAACGAAATTGAGAACAAATCTTAAAGCAAACACAGTAGCCGTTAGGAACCTGCTCTCTAATGAATCAAGGTTTAAACTTGTTAAAATAACTTGTTTTGATAAATCCACATTTTGTAACATTACAGTGGAGCAAAAGATCAGTTGTTGCAAAAGCATTTATGGGGTTATTACTGAGCCCAATGGCAGCTAAAAAAAGAAGCATAATACTGTTATTACTGCATAATACGCATATAGCACACATAACAGTTTGTATTTATTAATCTTTAATCTTTAATTTATCAATTCTTCTTCCTACCTTTGACTTGTGTTACTTTTTTTTAAGCAAAGTTAATCTAAAACCAGGCATCATCTTTTCATTTAAAAAACTACTTCCTACAACCACTTTTGTATTAATGCTATATATTTCTTCCTAAACCACTTCAATTTACAAGCAACCCTATGCATTAGGGCTTAACTTTATTTTCTTCCTTCTCTCTCTCAACCTCTGCTGAAGCATCAAGCTTCAAAAAGTTAAAAAAAAAAATCTTTTACTTGAAGGAAAGAGTTATTCAACTTAAGTATATAGAAGAAAATCTTGCCCCAATCAGTTAAAGCCTACCGCTCAAAAAAAGGCAAAAAAAAAAAGAAAAACCTCCAAAACCCACACACATTTCAGCAACAAAAATCTGGCTCTCAGCTGTTAAAAAAGGACACTGAAAACACCAAACCAAATACAGCTAAAAGTAAATCAGACTATTAGTGTTTGAAGAAAGACATTTAACACATTACATCAGTTCACTAAAAATAGGTAATACTTAGGGCCCGCTGCATTTTCACTACGGCAGACTATGAAAGTTCTTAAAAGATGTACTAAGGATCCCAACAAACATGCACAGGAATCATGCTCTCTACTTTCAACTGAGGTTATGCGTACCCAAATGTGGCACTTAAAGCAGGAGAAATGAAATACTGTTTAAATAGCCAGTTTTACTACTAAAAAAAATCTGTGAACCAAAACCATGTGTTTTTTGACACATTACAACACTATGGTTCCTACGGATCCATATTTCAAGAGCAGTCACACACAACTCCTTTTATTTATTAAGAAAAAAAAATCCGTTAGCAAGACAGCAAGACCGAGAAGCAAAACTGTAAATTATTTTGTATCTATGTTGCGGTTGGTTACATTCCAAAATAACATTACAGATAGTCTGCTTTTTTTCCTCCTAGGACACTTCTCCTTTCATTTATGATCAAAATTAAGGCTTAAAAGCAGTTGTTCTAGGTCAATGCAGTGTTTTTTTTTTTTTTTTTCCAAAATCTAACATCCTATAACAGTACCAAAAAGATAGAATTTCTTATGGTTTCTTTCCTGCAGTTATGCTTCTTTTGCAGTTATCTCACAAAAGGATATCACACAAATTATTATATCCTTCAAAAATGGGTACTTAAAGAGAAACAGTAGCTGAAGTGGGAATTGTGTAACAAAGTTTCCTCCCTGTCCAAACCCTTTTGGAAAAAGGAACGGTCATTTCATTTTGACTTTGAGCTCAAGCAAAGTATTTGCCCAATATCAAAATGTCTCTTAAATGGGAGACATTTAATGAAACTTCTCTAAAATTCATTTTTGGAGGATGTGGGCTAGGTAAGAACTGCCCACTACAAAAAACTTGAGCAACACAAATGAACGGATCTAGAACAGTGGATAATGGAACAATTATAGCAAAATATGCTACTGTCAAAAAAAGTTACCTGATTCAAAGGTTGGCATTTTCAAGTCACCTTGGTTGAGTTCTGTGCCATATTTTAATTTATGATATTTTGCCCTGAAATATGAAAAAAGCATGCAAGTGTTAAACAAATTAGTATTCATTTGATGAAAGCATTGTAAACATCCTACTAATACCATTTAGAACAAGCGTGTCAACACGATCTTATTTCTCCAAATAAAAAGACTGCAATAATTACTGAATCATTCCTAACCTTTCAAGACAACAACACTGGGTCTTTTCAAAACTATTTACTACTATAAAATAACTCACGGGTGAAGTTATGTTCTTCAAGAATGGGGGGGTGAGGAGGATGTCAGTTGCTACAAGAACTTTCTGAAATCAGCAGGTTCAATTATTTCGCATGGATTTCTTCAGTTATAGCACTGTCACAGCAAGCCGAACACTCTATGATAAATCACACACTTGGAGTCCCTGCCTACTTGCTACCTTCAATTTGCTTTTCAGATCTTCTCCTGCCCTGTCTTAGTTTACAATACAGATCTTCTTCCACGATAGAACCATGCTGTATCGCTAGCTTCCTGCACTGAGCACATTCTATTCCTGTTTTTCTCTTCTGCTCGGACTCAAGTCTTAACTTCCAATTAGTACTCATGATCCACCCATGCAAGTGTGCCTCACTCCTTTCAATATCCTGATCTCTCATCCCCTATCCTCTTCTCCTATCACTTTTTAATAAAAACTTATCTTGCCAATACAGGCAAGCATCTACAATACAGGCACGCATTAGCTTTCCAACGCTTCTTCTGCAAGTTGCCTATCAAACTTCCAAGAGTATCACCTGCATCACTATGAGTAGACCCTGAAATTCTCGAACTATATCTCAGACCTTTCAAAATTTAATTCTTGCCTCAAAATCCCCCGGGATAAGAATTCTCAAACTCTCAGGGAAAGGAACTCTTCGCCCTCTGCAAGGGCAAAGTTTTAACAACAACAACCGAGTCGGAGCCAATCCCCATTAATTTTCAAGACTGCTGCCAAATATGAAGAAACTAGGATGTCCTCAAAAACGATACATAGTGAAATGTATGCTGGGCAAAACCAAGCATTCCCAACTATTATTTTCTCAGCTGAAACACTGCTTGAAAGTTTTCCAAATTCAAGAAGAAAGTTCATCTCATATGCAGTCTGAGACATTTCTCCTGAATTACAGAAGCTTGTGCCAAAGGTTTCTGCAGGCAATTCAAAAAGTCCTATTAACAACTTGTCAGCAGGTGGCACTACTGACCCGTTACAGTAATTCCTATTTGGCAAAGGCTGGTATCCTACATGTATTTGCATGCCATGAATTTGGCTGACTGCTGAGCAAATAATCACAAATGTTTTAATGTTATTTGTGAATCTAATTGTATTCCAACAACGAACCACTAAAACTGTATATATTAGGTCTTCTAAAATGTGAAATAATGTCTTTGTTCCACATTGTAGCAAGCAGTGTATTGGCAAAAAGTACAAATTAAGTGCACAGACCACGATATAACTTTAATGTCCTATAAATGATTATGCTTTTTGGGCAAAAGAAAATCACAGAATGAAAATAATTAAGAGATTGTACAGTTAAATTAAGCAGACCAAATGTTTTGGCCCAATTCATAGATGAATTCATTAGAGCATTATAATTAGAAAACCCATCTACATTTGATCAATTTGGAGCTGTTGCAAATATTATTTAGGAGCATCTGTTCAACTCTGGAGCTCTAATTTCATATATAACAAAAACCCTGCTTTAATTGCTCATTACAGAAAATGAAGCATCTCATCTGAAATTACAGCAATGACTACAAATAAGCCAAAATAAAGATGTATGTAATAATATCTTCCACGTTACATTTGATATTGTTTCAATTCTGCAGCAGGAAACTAATCTTACTATATCCCAATAAAGTCTAGATTTACACGCATACTCCTTTCCACGTCGGCTCACAAGGCAGACACCGTTATGACTTTCCCTGCTCCCGTCACACACAGTAACTCAGTTCTGCACCTTCCCTGCCTTTTCAGGGCTGACTTGGCACATTTCTAAGGGCAGGGTGAGAGAAGACAGCAGGAACCCGAGAAACAACGTTCCTAAATAGAAGCATGCAATCAGACAACTAATTGTTGAATCCTACCCATCAGTTACAAGGATATAAACCACTTCCAAGCCAAAGGCCACAAAGCTGAAGTAACAGCTCAGGTCTATGATCTTGGGAAGTCAAGCACTGAACTAACACAGCTTGAAGCAGGGTAGCTTGGAGTACAGATAAATAGCCTGTTGCTGTAAAATACTGAATGACCCTCTAGCTACAAACAAAAATCACTACACACATATCCACTTAAAGCCCAACTTCACTGCAAAAGCTCATGAAGAAATATACACAAAATATTCAAAGAAATTAAAACATCATTTTACATCAAATATCGCACTTCTTGTAAACATTTTAAGAGTCAACCACTAAAAAAGCCAGGTTATTTTGCAACTACTACTGCATTATATTTAATCATACATGCTAGATGTCCTGCTTCATAAGTTTTTTTTTCTGAGAAATCACAATATTCTATTGTTGCTTGGATGACTGTGCTGCTGACACCCTATAATTTGACACTTCATTGTACGAAACTTTGTCCATATCAAGAAGTCAGGAAGGAAAGAAAAAAAAAAAAAAGGAAAGAAAAAAAATCAGGTGCAAAACCTGATAACCACTGTCAACACTTCTCAGGCAAAAATGCGGACTGTTAAGTGTAATTTGTATCCTTGCCTGAAGAACAACAAAAGGCCATCATCCTGGATGCTTCGTTTAGAGCAACAAGCTAGAGCTTAACATTCTTGGACAACTTACTGGCAAGTCAGCACAGGCTCTCCTTACTCAACTCATCGTACTTTGGCAATTAGATCCCCTCAAACCACAGAGCATCAGTAGACAAATAAAAATAAGGTATGTATCTATCTACAGCAAGCTTCCTTTTGTCTCCCATCTCCCATATATTCACTAGTCATCCTCAGAGGTGTTTTTTTTTTTTTTTTTTTTAAAAAACGCTATATTCATATTCATTCCACCTGAAACATCAGGATTTTCCTCTTGAAAAGGATGCAAGCTTAGTTTACAACTGCAAAAAGTGATATGAGTTGCGTGTTTCTGATGTTCTGCTTTTGTTGGATATATGATTACGAATTTCTCACTCATCAGATGAATTCCACGATTTCCTGGGAGGTCGCAGTAAAGGTAGCTGCATTTCACAGGGAAGCATGAGTGAGCTATCACCAATCCAATTTATCTTCATGTGTCCATAAGATGCTGACCCTCACTGTAGTTGCCTTTGATTTGTCTTAAAAGGTAGGCAATCCCCACAGTTATTTTGTGAGTGTGTTTTCCCACAAAGTTTATTATTGCCAACACAACCAAAAAGTTTTACTTCAACTCCAGATAGTCATGCTTTAGCCTGCAATAACAGCAGACAGTTTTCTTTCAGCATTTTCAGTGTTCCCTTGAGAGAGTGGTACATACAAAAACACTTTATTTGCTTTTTTCATCTGCCTTTAATTCAGTCATTTGTACTTTATTCATGATACAAAAACATAACTTTTAGTCTGTCATTGGTTGAAAAGCTTGAGTTTGTTTCCACCCTAAAGACAGCATCCAATGAAGTTCCCTGATGCTTATTGTTTCGGCAGGAAACACAAAAGGTGCTGATCAAACACTTGCCACTTTCTGAAACATGCCTTTAAACTGGACATCCCACACAAATACGTGGCTATCCTTGCCACAGCATTACTTTTAATATGCAAATCACCAATCAAAGTTATTTCTATGCTAGTTTAATACAATATTAATTTATATCAGCAAATGCAGCTAAAAATGCCCAGGTAAAGGCCCTGTATATTTTACTACAAAATTTTAAGTTTGCTTTGGCATGAATATTCCCCTCTAATAAAAACAAAAGCTACCAAATTTGTTGCAGGATCATCAAGGGGAATACACAGTTGCATTCAGCTGCTTTTTAAGTGCAATTGAGCCTGCTACTGAAAATACAGACGCATTTGAAGCTAGCTTCCCTAACAGCTTTGCAAAATAAGATACTAATTTCAGTCAGCGGAAACAGTCAACAGAAAAAAAAACATAGCTATGAAAGACACCTCACAGCTATATATTGGAATGCTTTGTTTTAAATACTACAATAAATACTACAAAAATATATCTACTGAAATTAGAAATTCTAGTTATCTACCACAGAAAGAAACAATACATCAAAAAATACCATCAAAAGATACTGTTCTGCAACAAAATACAATCTTACAATGTTGTGTAACAAATATAAATTATTTATAGGAAACAGGAGGAAATCTTTAATCTTTTCCAGATGAACATGACTGAAAAGTAGGTAAAGGTATAATGATAACATGTAAATTTTAATATGTTTTTGTAAGTACAAGAAGGACCTAGCAGATTTGTTCTTATTTAATTTGAAATTACCAGCTCAGAAAAGCTGATCAATTTGAATATGTTGCATTTAAGCCAAGAAATCTGAAAAACATACTAACCAATTTGAAGTGCATTTAACATTTCTATTACAGCAATCACTCATCAGAAAATATGAACCAAGAACAGTAGCAGCTAATTCAGTCAAAAATGTATTTTTCAGTCATTACTGTCAAAAAGCCCCATAGCTTGCACAGAGTAATTACGATCTGACATTAATACAGTTTACATAAACTGCAGAATCATCTGGTAGAGACAGTTCGTGTCAAGCAAAGACATTTTTTCCCCGTCTGCAAAGTGTTCCAAGTCAGATAAAAATTGACCAAATACATATACCTACCTTTCTTGTTTTAATGCATATTCTAACATCTTTATTCTTCTCACTAAATCTTTCTTCAAGTTTTCTTGACCCTTTCTTTCCCCTTGTAGAAATGCTATTCGAGCCTGAAAACAAATAAACATAAAGGAGTTTTATTCAATTTTGTTGCTCAAAGAAATAAGTCTAACACATAAAAAACTATTTTGCATAATAAAATTCAGTTTCAGTCATTTAGTCAAATTCATTAAGAACAAATCAAAAATATTTCTGCCCCAAAGATCTGATCTTATTTTCTGTTAAGTTTGCTTACCTTGAAACAAAGCTATTGAAGTTAGTATAGTAAAAGATGGTAAAAAGAGTAATAATTTAAACCAGTTTAACACACATACATTTTTCCTTGTGGTTATTAGCATAAATTCTTTAATATATTTTCTTCTAAACCAGAAGCCATATTAAAATAGACACTCACCATACTTCAAGGAATTCATTTTTTAAAGCTAGCATACTGAACAGTTGAAGAAACAAGAGAGGCACAGGAATTCCAACATATAACTTGAAAGATCATAATAAAAGAACGAGTGTATTTTACTGATTCAGATTTTACTCTCTGCTGAAGGCAGCTGAAGATTAGAATATTAAGTGAGAAGCATTTTAGTGTGTTCTTCTTTAAGGAGTAAGCAAAATAATGCCTTCTAAAGTACCAAGCATACCACCAACCTAACCTCTACAAAGGAAAGCTGAAGTTTTCTACTTGACTTGCATGTTCTATTGATTCTGTCTACTAGGTTAGCAGGCATCTCAACTAGTGAAAAAGGTTGAGTTGACTTTTGTAAGCTAAAATCCTTCTAGTCATAATTCAAGATAATAAATTTTTTTATTGCAAATAAAGAGAGATTTAAAAAAACTCTAGAATAAAGACTACAGCAGTGACAACATTGCTCTACAAAGATTAAAAATCACTGTTGTAATTTCACTATTACAAGCACAATGAAAATGCAGAGATCTAGTCTGAAATTAGTCTAGCCTTTAAGATTTTAAAGTGTGGTTTGCTGGACCTGCTCCTTAATCACCTTGGTGAGAGCTCGCAATGATCTAACCAAAACCGTCACTCCTTTTGCAAGATCAAGCGACACTGCAGTATAAAACTTTGCACATCTGCCCAGTCTGATCTCGATACTTAAGAAATAAAAAAAGTAAAAATGAAAAAAAAAAGAAGAGAGAGAGAAGAAGGGTCAAAACACTCTTATTTTGCATTAGTTAACTAATGATTTAATCAACTAAAAACCTAGTAAGAACAATGGAGTTCTGAATAAGACCATCAGTTACAAGTCTGTAGTGAAAGTGCTTCCAACCAACCACTACCACTCCGAATGCCACAACACACAACCATGCAGGAGAAGGAAGAGCTTTGCTATGACTACAGAGATACTTCAAGATAGAGAACAGGCTCAGGAATTGGCTAGTTTGAACAGCAGGTTCCCACTGGAGGAGGGTGGAGGGAGCTGAACAAAATCCAGCAGCTGTACTCAACTGCAGTTATGTATACAACTTTAATAATCTAAATTAAACAACAACTGACACCAATCCAGTAGAGAGTTAACAGCCTCCCAGAGAAAACTGTAATTATACCTTATTTACATTCTCTTAGTATAAGGCAGTGATGACCAGACAACTCCACAGGTAACCTTAATTTCCATTAATCAGGGATAAGACAACATATGCTTTTGTTAAGTAAACGGTCTCCTTATACATAAAGGTGTACATAGAGTGATCAATTACCTCCAAAGGACTTCTGCAACTACTCTATTAAAGGATATTTTACAATTGGTTCAAAAGGACTGTGGTTTATGCACGTATATGCTGCTCAATGCCATACTCCAAATATTTGGAAGTTACTGTGTGAACACAGGCTGTTGACAGAAATAAAAACAGAACTAAATACTTATGTGATTATCATCCAAGGAAAGTCACAAAAGCTCTTACACACTTTAACCGGAATGCAGTTCTCAACTCTTTCCAAAATTCTAGTCTTCTGTAAATAACGGTCTTTTCTCTTCCTAATAGTCTTCATTCATTAGCTGGCTTCCTTTTATAACTATTTTACAGATCTTAGTTGCCAGCTGCAACTGTTGGGCCTTATTCCATCTTCAGTTTCATGATAACAGGGCAAAAAATAATACAGCTGTGATCATACACAGAGCGATCTGCCTCCCAAAAGCACACAGCCCAACTATTTTCCTCTTCTGGAATATTCAGTGTACTTGGGCACACAGAATCTGCCCTCATATTTTCTAGCCTGGATTTCACACTTTTCAACCAGGCTGGATAATGAGTTAAGTGATCCTGAAAATTCAATACACTATTGAAATAGCTGTATAGAAAACAAACAACTGGCTTAATAGACAACAGGATCTTTATAACAGTCTTCACAGGATACAAAAGTCTGGACAGGCTGCAACCAAGAGTCCACTTGATCAGGGAGACAGCAATCAAAAGTTCCCTGCTCTGCCACAATACATATTTTGCACCTTTACCAACCTTCACCTTAGTTCTTCGTCAATTCTTTCAGCACCAGTTTACACAATTACGCGTTTCTCTACATATTTGTTTGATTTTAGGATTTTAACTTTGCTTTCCACTTGATACAAAACGAAGAATAAGATCATTACAGATTTGCTGTGTAGGCAGCATTAAGCACTTTCCTTCCTTATGCCTTCACGAAAAAGTGAAGGGTATGCAAACTATAATTTCACACATTGCCTTTGACAACCCCAAGAACTGAACTATACATGAACACAATTTCTTCACACTGGTTTTTTTTTTGAGAAGCAGTAAAGCTTGGGCTTAACAACAAAGATCAAGCAAGCACCTCAGTCCCCCTCATGACATAGTTGCACTAATGCAGGTTGCATACACCAAGACAAATACTTATGAAATACTCTCTCTATAATACCTCTCATCTTTAGCAATTCCTTTCTGCTTGAACATTTCCCAGGAAAGCTAGATTAGGTAGAATTTCTAATTGTATAATTTATAATTGTAATGACTAGAGCTTGACTGATGCGAATGTGGAAGGGGGCACCAAACAATGTGGTACCCATCTTAGCTCCCTTGCACTTAAAACAGAAACCTTTCTATGCTTTAAACCAATCCTTATGTTCACGAGCCAATGCCAAGAGGAACAGTCCTCTCCCTTCCTCATGTTTCTGTTCCCTCTACTGTGCTGACATAGCTGCTTACGCTGCCATATATTAGGTCTGATCAGGAAATCAATCTATCTATTTTTTGCTCAGTTCTGAATCAGAACAGTTTCCTGATGACACCACACACAGTCATGGGAGCACTTAGGCTGGATGGGGACAGGATAAGGAAGTCAGAACTCCTCTCGGTGACAGCATGGGATTAGATCAGTCCAAGTGACCACAAAGCCACACCCGGCACAGCCAGGTCACAAGAGGCACAAACAAGAAGTGGACCAGGAAAGTCAGGAATGTCACATAAGAAAAGCAGCAGCACTGACTCTCCTGAGCTTAATGAGGAGTTTTTTAAAAAGTCCAGTAGCAAGATGATTTACAAGGGTGAGAGAAAGTCTTATTTTATAGCAAACACATAAAGCAGTATGTCTGTAAGAAAAAGAAAAAGAAGAAAAAAAAAAAGGCTTCTTATGGCTTTACTAATGAAGCTGAAATTAGTGACATTCAGGTTTTTGTCCAACTCTCCTGCCTCCAGCTAGGCTTGTGTTTTGGTTTGCTCGATTAGCAACAAGCTCAGTCAGAAGCATCTTCTTCAGGTCAGCGCCTCCCTCTTCTATCAAGCAATCCCGTATTACAGTATTTCCACACCAAGACCTGTTACCCTGCTACAAAATTATGCAACAGTTGATAACTCCATATTCCCGCTATACTTGGCTGTCAGCTGCAGACAGTAACACCACCACACGAAAAGCCACAGCTGTGTTAATAGGGAGAATTCACAGAGCACCAGGAACCAGCTTAAGGGGCAGCTACTTGGCCTCAGTGAAAGGATGCATGAAAAAAACGCCCGGACCTGGGCATGCTGAATGTCAAGGATAAAAAGAATTACTGACCACCTACTGGAATAAAACACTGATTTCCTTTTTGTCAAATGTCAAATAAACACAGAATGAATATATAGAAGAGAAGGAGACAAATTAAGATTTTAACACTTAATACTCTATATGTTTTTCAGCTAAGTATTTTAATGGACTTTTTAACTGCTTTATTAATATTTGGATACACATATGCTGGATGTTATGGAAGGCTTTTTATTTCTTAAAAATATGTCATTTTTTAAAAATGTGTCATTTTTCCTTTCTGTATTGCAGTGTGCTAAAAAATGATTTGATAGCAGTTGTAGAGGCTTTTATTTTAAAATGTAAAATAAGAATAACCAAGGTTTTCCTTGAACGGTAGCAATAAACCTACATAATTTGAGCAATCAAATTGCAACAGATTTACAAATACAGAAACAGACTCATGAAGTAAGTCTACTTTCTTTTTACTCCAGTTGCAAACTGCTCTAGAAGCATATTTAGAAAAAAACTGCAAGTATACATAGAGCAATGCCAGCTGCAACCTGATGTTAGTTTGTTTTTGCTTTCTCTCAAGTCCATTCAGACTTCTGGAAGGAAGGAAGGAAGGAAGGAAGGAAGGGGGAGACAGTATTTTTGAAAGAAAGGCAATACAGTGAAGCAGCTTGAATACACACACCAAGTCTTAGTGAACACAAGTAAGCATGTTTTTATACTTAAAGGGCATGCCACAGGACTCACACAAAAATTATTTAATCAAAAATTTATTTACATCTTCAAAAAATTAATCTAATCTTCATGCTTAGATGATCAAGCAGATTGCTTTGGCAAGTTAAAAACTTAATGGGAAGGTGGAAGATTTAAATCACGATTAACGTTCTAGTTCCCGTTCACAAGGAGCAAAAGAAATATGAGGGGGGAATGGCTCTGCAACATCAATTTTCAACGAATCACAGTTTAAAACTTCATCTCATTCAGAACATCCAAATTGTCATGCGTGTAAAAGCATCAAATAGTAGAAGTTTCACTATATCCTTACAGACCTGATAATGCTCAGCCCTTTGTAAGTTAAC